GTATTGCGTATATACGTCCTTACCTTACATTACCACTGTCTACATACCTTACCGGCGCCTTGGAGCCAGATGCTGCCGTGTCTTGACAGGCACGCGGCACGCTGCAGGCCCGCCGCACCTCACGCACAGCAACCCCTTTTGCAGCTGCGGCCAGCGTCCAGGAGAGGTAACAAGAGACGGGACACCAAGTGTATCGTGTACCCGCTCGGGTCGCCACAAATGTCGCACTTGTGACGGTACCGAATACTCTGCAACTCGAGCCTATGTTCCTTTATGCCAACAGACGAGACGAGGGAGGCCCCTCTTTCTTTACTGCTTGTTGCTGTTATTGTTGTTGCCCTTGGTCTGCCATGATCAGCTCTTGTCTGGACTTTTTGGTCCTGTCTTTAGTACACATGTAGTAGCATCGATGATCACCCACAAAGTGTAAGAAAGACCGGGCAGTCCGACATCCAGCCATCGAGTCGCCTCAGATCTGTGCACGACTGTATTTGTCGGAGGCCCTTGACTGGAACTTTCTACTTTCTGTTGAAATATTGAGAAGAATTAACACCATAGGCCAGACTGCGTTCAACGTGGAACTATCTCCAACAAGCGGTAATAATAGTTAGCGCTCGCTGGATCCAATGACAAGAGCAATTCATGCGATCACGATACTGAGGCAGCATGGGAAGCATGCCCGTACGGTAGTGCGACAGCCACAATAGATGGTCCGGTGGCTATTGCGATAACACCAAAACCGTGGCTATCGACTGGACAGAGGTTAGGTATCCGCACAACGCGTAGAAACCAAAGAGCCATGCGGCTTCAATCTGGGCTCTGCTTTGCCCTGATCGACCAGTGCTTGCGCAGTCTCACTCTCATGTTTGGGACGCCGCTAGGCCAGGATTGTCGGAGGCGAAACAACCAATCTGTCCGGTTTCCCGTCGTCTCAAATGACAAGTCTTTCCCCATATCCCATACTACCTTATACAAATCCTGGCGGCAACATCTCTTCTGACTCTCTCCTGAATCACTCGTTTGTAGTCGAGTAAGGTACGGCATGCGAGTTTTCTTTCATGTGCGTGTGCATATGTGTGTGTGTGTGTGCGCGCGTGTGTGTATTCGCCGCCGGGTCTGGCCTCAACTTTCCGCTGGAAGACGCAGGCCGCAACTTGGCCTGTGTCCTGTTCCTGAGCGAGGGGCAATATCTAGGTAGATCCTCTTCCAGTGATGGACTGCATTATGCCAGTGTGTTTCGAGGACGTGAGCCTTGACTCTCTGCTGCTGCTCGGCTTGGGCGGTCCTAGGCTTCCCGAGACGGCAACAATGATCCACCGATGACAGCAAGATAGAGGAAGAGAGGAAGCAAGGGTCAGTGGTAGATAGGTGTGTGTGATATCTGCAGATCGAGGCTGTCGTCTGAGGTAGCCCGATTGCTGCTGGACGGCTCGGTTACCTTTGGGGAGCGCCGAGACATCCAATAGCTGAACGGACGGCTTGCTAGGAGAGGAGATCATGGCTTGTCGAACTCCAGGGAGAAAACCTCTTTGCAGATCTGGAGCATCCCACCCGGTAGAACGTCGACCGCCGGCGAGGTGAGTGAGTGAAGTGGGGGATGCGACGACAAGAATCGGCCAGATGTAAGAAGAGCCGAAAGCCAAGACTTTCCTCGGAACGAACCTGACCTTGAGATGCCTTAGCCAAGATGATATTGGACCAGCACTGATGTGTTCAACAAATAGTAGAGGTCCTTGGTGATATCAGATAATCAGAGACATGGCAGATGAAGTTTCCCGTCCGTTGTCTGTGGGAACCTGCAGAGCGTACGAATGAGGGCTGTGCTGCTTTCGACAACAATCCACCTCCCGTACTGTTGTTGTTGCACAATCCCATGTCCCTAGGTTGTCGCCGTTGTTCTCGTTGTTGTTGTTGTTGTTATCATCAGCGTTGCATGGAGAAGGAAGGAGGAGTCGAGCTGGTTTGGACTTAATGCGGATCAAACACCGCCTGCTTTTTGGCCCGCCATGGACAGAGCTACCTTACCTAATACCTAAGCACCTAGGTTACTTCACCTCATCACGCTTCCCACCTTACCTTATTATTATTTTTTGTATGTACATGGACCTCCTTGGCAGGCGGTTACCCGGCCCATGTTACTGGATAACACATGCGTTTGGTACACCCCAAAAATCTGTTATCACACTGTATAGGGAAACTTCCTCGCTGATAAGTCAAGGTACCTCTGCCTCTGCCTTCCTGGCACGACGTTCTAGAAGCTCTGCGGCACTGCCTTCGCCCAAACTGCTAAGCGGAACAGCGGTCACAGGCCTGGGTCCACCGAGCTGGAACACATGCATACGTAACGATAAAAGTCACTCCTTTTGCTTACTGAAGGTCAATGAAGATGAAAGACAAGAGTCCAAGATCATGGCTTTGAGCTTCTGCAATTAAGGCAAGGAGACGATAGGAAAGCTGCTCCGGAAGATGAGACGCGAATACCATACTACCGCATTCCGACCCTACTTGCATGCCAACATCAGTTATGCTTAAACTGGCCCGAAGCCACCCCGAGCAGAGTCAATATAATACCATGCCGCTTCGTATGGTGTATTCAACCGTGGCTCTTGGCGGCTACTACTCATTGGTCACCTTATTTCATAGGTACCCAGACTATTGCGTGGATGGTTTTTTGGCATCGCCATCTCAGGCACGGAGTGACTTGATAACCTGGGAGATCTTCTCGGGGTAATAGAATTTCTACCAACGGTACCCGAAGGCCTGGGCATTTAAGGTACGCCAGGTAAAACAGGAGATACTCCACCCACTGGAAAATGGTGTCATTTTCCAGTGCCGACCGATGCAGAAAGGCAGGACACCCAATCCTCCCTCCCGCCGAAGACGGTCACGGAGCCGTTTCCAGTTTCCTCCGCAGGCGGGAGAAGGTCAAAGGTAACACCGCGACGGGAGACGTACTGGTCAGAAACACCCGGTAGCTCCTAACCTCGAGGCCTGTCATTGTCGCAGGTTTCCCCGTGCCCCTGCCCGCTTCAGGACCCCTGAGATCGAGCTGAAACACCGCCTCACGCCGCATTTTCAGCGACCTTCAAACAGGTCAAACAACGCCGTCGATAACAACCAATCCACTTTACTTGACTTTGATATGCGACCTGACCCGGGTAAGTTACTTTCCCAACATCGGCCGCGGGATGACTTTCTGGCCCTTGTCTTCCGTGTCATGTTGCTACTGCTTCTGACGTTTGTGATAAGTGATAGCCTGTGAAGAGGCCCATTGCCGAGCCGGTCCCCGGCTCCCAGCTCCAACAGTGTTTCCGGGTGCTGTCATCGTTGCTCTCCCCCTGAGGAAACCTCATGATAATTCGTCTTGCCACCCCGTCGGCCGTCTCGTTTCGATACTCTCCCCAGTCTGTCGTTCTCACCGTTGATAACTGAGTGAACCAATCCAGACCACCCCTTTTGGTACAAGGACGCAGTTCCTGATGCCTAGAGGCGAGACGTCGATGCCGCGCGTTGCTCGTTGGTATCGTCCTTCTCACCATCGATTACATTGAGCCAGTGTCGATATCCCTCCTTCACTGGAACTCCTGAATAAGGAACCACCCGGGCCTCGGTTGTCGCTCGGCGGTTCCAAGACCCTGCATACTTCGATTGATGGGCTGATTTTACGCAGCCTTTGATTCCATGACGGTCCGGATGAACTGCTGCATGTCGGTTGCGTCTTGGCTGTCATCGTCCATGGCGACACCTAGCTCCGCTTGACGGTGTTGGCTGCACACTGATTGACCTTTGTTGATCACCTCATCCCACTCAGCCATGGAGAACGTCCCCTCACTCTCCAACAACAACAGGTCGTTCTGCGACGTGAAGATGACAACGTGAAGCGATTTTGACTGGTCAATCTCCAGAGGAGACGGGTCAGCGATGATCTTGTCACCCTTCCGGACAACGGCCAAAGTGGCACATGTGGCAATAGCCTTCAAAGGCACAGCAGCCGACAGCAAGGCCAGGATGGCGCTGTGAAAGAGAGCCGGTAGCAGAGGCAGACTCTTTAGTAGAGTAGGATAGTCAGCAACAGCACTCAATAGGCGACACTGGGCGGTGGCTTTGAGATATCTGAGATGGACTTATTACTTACAGACTGAGCTTGTACTACTTTGCTGTTTGCATAGTCATTCTGCGGCGTCTCAGTCACCTGGAGCGTAACCTGAATAAGACATCGAGGGAAGTTTTTGACGGGAATCAGCTGGCGAAGGGCGGACCGCAGAATGTTCTCGAGTTGGCGTTCTCCTGTGCCTAAATAGTCGTCACGAGTATGAGCAAAATTGACCACAAGGTGCCAGAAGAAAGACAGTCTGACCTCCGACCCCTGCAGCAGGTCGTACGACAACATCAACGACTGATTCGAAGGGGTTTTCGTCGCGTCGTTGGACCTCAATCGGCCCATTGACGGCCGCAACCACGCAATAGCCGCCTCTTGAAAACGTTGCCGAGCCATCTGCTCGCGGCAGATGTGAGATGCGGGCCTGGGGGTTCGAATTGAGAGTCATGGCGAATGGTGATGCGGCAATGTTGGCGAATGAGAACAAGGGAATGAACTGGTGAGTTAGGAATTCTCCCTTGAGGTTTGCTCGAAAAGCGAGTGCGAATTAGTACAACGACAACCTGTATATCCTGCCTCAAGCAACTTCCGGGAGGAAAAATTAGGATGAAGTTGGCGAGCCACAGGTACGTACCTGTCTCGAGGCAAAGTTCTCAGCAGCAGGCCAATTGCAATCAAGATCTGCGTCGGCAGGTACGTCCTGAGGTACTCCGTACCTACCTAGGTACCTTACCTCAGGTGGGGGGCTGCTTCATTGACCAGACAAGTATGTACGTACTCAGCACAGCGAGCTTTCTAAGCTTCACTTCGACTTCAACATCACTCAATATTCCGCCAAGCTTGGCTGCACAACCACTCCTTTATCACTGAATATCTGTTCCCGAATCTTCCCACTCCCGCCATGGCTTCAGCAGATACTGCAACGCACGCCGGCACGACAGTCGTGCCTACTTTGAGTAATAAGATTCCCAAGCTAGAACCCCGCCGACGTCGACCAACTCCCTCCAATCCAACACCACGTCCCGAAACGCCCGCTCTGCCCGCACCACTAGGCCTCGATGACCACGAATACAAGACTCCCTCGCGACGGATCCTTTCCCAGAAAGACCACGAGCTGTTCCTGTCGTCTCCGACATACACGCTGGTTCTAGCTTTCGTCTTTGGCCTCTCCGAGTCCGTCGAAGATACACCTCGCTCTGCCGTTAAAGATAGCGAACTCGCCCCTACGCTACGGTCGATCCTCGGCATACTCGACGAAGTAGATGGATTTGTGAAAGAGGCTCCCCCCGACGATCAAGAGGGCTCACGCTTTGGAAACAAAGCCTTCCGGACGTTCCTGGACCTGGTGAAAGAGAAGGCAGCGGCTTGGCAGACGGGATTAGGCGTCGGCGAGGCCGCAAACACTGAGGTCTTGGTCTATCTGGAGCATTCCTTTGGAAACAGGCAACGTATAGACTATGGTTCAGGGCATGAGCTTAACTTCATCATGTGGCTCCTATGCCTTTACCAACTTCGAATCATCACCAAGGGCGACTTCCGACCATTGGTCCTCAGGGTTTTTGAGCGGTACCTGCAGGTCATGCGTAACGTCCAGTTGACGTACTATCTGGAACCCGCTGGCTCACACGGTGTATGGGGCTTGGATGACTACCAGTTTCTTCCATTTCTATTTGGCGCCTCGCAGCTTCTGCACCATCCATTCATCACACCATTGGCGATCCACCAAGACCTCACACTGGAGGAGTTTAGTCAAGATTACCTTTACCTTGGCCAGGTCAACTTCGTCAACGATACGAAAACGGTCAAGGGTCTACGATGGCACAGCCCCATGCTGGACGATATCTCAGCTTCCAAGTCATGGACCAAGGTGGAGGGTGGTATGCGCCGAATGTTCGTCGCCGAGGTTTTGAGGAAACTGCCGGTCATGCAACACTTCTTGTTCGGTTCACTTATTCCAGCAGTAGATGGGATGAGCACAGAGCAGGACTTTGAGCTAGGCGACGAAGAGCATGAAGAGGAAAGCGGCGAGATTAACCCGGGGAATGTGAGCAAGCATAAGCATCAACATGTCGGATGGGGTGATTGCTGCGGCATCAAGGTCCCTAGCAGTGTCGCCGCTGCTCAAGAGATGAGGAAGAGAGGGGCCCGCGATAATCTGCGGCGAATACCCTTTGACTAGATGTCTATGACGGGCTGCCATATGGCAAGTTATGAAGAAGAAAAAAGCCATGACAGATACGAATAATGAACCTTTTTGATTATACTATTATGCACTACTATGAGTTGTTCTCCATAATTGCCACTCCATCTTGTGGAGACCCCCTATTACTCTTTTCTAGTTGTATTACGATGCTTCAACAGCATCCTTCGTATTTTGTATGTTCAATTCTAAACACAAGCCGCCTCAGTCGCCGTCCAGTAAGGTATATATCTACCTCACCAGGCCGAGCTCGTGAAGACGCTCGATACCTGGAAGGTGCGCCCACTGCTCACTGGAGGGCGAGCCGCAAGTGAGATCGAACCACAGATCAGGGTGGTCGTTGTCGATGGAGTCCAGCGCGTAAGCGACGGTGCTACCGTACAGGTCGCACCGCGGGACGTTGAGACCCTTTTCGGGGTAGAAACGGTACGACTTGCAGCCGTCGGTGGTGTTCATGACGCTCTGTGAAGGAGGAGTTTCGTCAGCAATGCTGGGCTTGGATTCCTCAGAAAGGAGGTGAGGGAGAATTATCAACTTACAGCACAGAATTGGTAGCAGCCCTCAAGGGTCACGGGTACGTTGGGGGCGTTGTTGACGAAGCGAGCCAGGAAGTAGTTACCTACCGGCAAGCCATGGACGCCACAGTGGTTGTTGCCCGGCATTGGCTTGCCCGTCGGCGCGTCGTTTTGGCAGACTGTTTTTGTTGGGATTGTCGTCGAGGTAGGGACCGTGGTCAACGAGGCGGTGGTGATGGGCGCCATAGAGGTGTCGATGACGCAGCTTTCCGTCGGAATGACGGAGGAGAAGGCTGTCGTCGCCTGGGCGGTGGACGTGGCAATGCTGCTGGTGGTGTTGGGGAGGAAGGGAGTCACATTGGGCGTCGGTGTTGTCCAGCTGGACGATGTTGGGGCTACCGAGGCGCTGGAGGTGGTCTCGTCATCGCATGGCTCGGTCGTGGCGCTGGCCGAGGTGGTGGCCGACTGGGTATATGTCCCATTTTGAGTCTTTGTGGAGAGAATGTACGTCGTAGTCGAGTTAGCGACGGGCATGCTAGATGTGAATGTAGGAACAGTGCTTCCGGTGCTAGTCTCATCGTCACAAGGCGTCTCCACGGCCGCGCTGGTGGATGTCTTGGTGGACCACGGCGCCGTGGAGTTGAGCTGGCTGCTGAACGCCGTTGAAGTCGAGTTGGTATATGAGGAAGTAGAGCTCATATCATCATCGCAAGGCTCGGTTGTCTGAGAGGGGGCCGCAGACGTGGTGTTGTGCCAGACGGGTACGGAGGTGACGGTCCCATCTGAACCCCCGGTCGTCAAGGATGAGCTGGAGTATGTCGACGTGATGTTAGGGTACGGCTGATGGGTGCTGGCGGTGTCGTCAGGACAGGGGGACTCGGACGGTGCCGCGGATGAAACGGTTGTTGAGTTTACGGGCACAGTGTAGCCGGTCGAGAGGATCATGGAAGTCGAGGAGGTGGTGTTCCATGCTGCTCTCGAACTGGTAGAGTTGGCAGGCAGCGAGGACGAAGACGAAGGCAGGTAGGCTGTGCCGGTGCCCCTCGACGATGTCAAGTTGCCGCCATACGAAGTCGTCGCCGTGATGTAAAACGTGACGTCCACCGTGGTGAAGGAGGTGGTGACACTTTCGGGGCATCCGGAAGCGTGGAACGACGAGGAGGAGGCGGAAGCGGTGGACGAGGTGCTGTACGAGAGGGTGTAGTGAGTGCTGCTGGCGGTCTCCGCGGCGGTGCCCGTGCCGACAGCAGACGAAGTCCCGTTGGAGGTGCCGTTGAAGTGGAATCGGGAGCGGCCCCGGGCGGCGATGGGACGGACCCATTCGCCCGATTCTAGGTACGGTTGGGAGTCTGGGCCTCGGACGATGTGAGCGACAACCTGGTTTCCAATTTTGTTAGCAAGTTATCCATCTCTTAAGATTTGATTCGAGTTTCTTGTAAATCTCACCTGTTCGTCTGAACCTTTCGGAGCTGCTACCGCAGTTCCGAGGAGAAGGGCGGAGATGCCCAAGAAGAGGCTCTGCTGCATGGTGTTGAGAAATGATCTGGACAGCAATAGGAAGACACTGAAAGGCTCGAGCAATGAATACTCAAAACAACAATTTCTGTAGGGTATTGTGTCAAGCTGGATGGATGCTGAGTTGCCTGATACACCAAGACCTTTGAAGTGAAAGCCATTGCCTTCTTTATACACTGTCGCTGTCATCGCTCAGATCTTCAGGGAGTTGCATGATCTCCATCACAGGAGGCTTCGAGCCCTTGGTTCCCAGAAGATGTGGAGGGCTCAAGAATAGAGGGAAGACTATGGGTGCTGTCTATTGAGAGTCGGGTCCTGAAGAAGTGGGAGGGGGGATGATAGTATCACGCAAGGGGGGCTGTTTTCAACCCTTTCAAGCGACCACGGCTAAGACATCGTCGCAATGAGCCAAAACATTAGAACACAACGGCTTGTCGGCAAGACGCCTCAGGAAGGGAGAATAAAGTTCATGAATGTGGTATATTTCATTAACAAGCAGACCTCCTACGCCATTTCTCGAAGTAGAGGGTCGAGTCCCGTCGGAAGGGGGTTAAAACCCCCATCTGTAGTAAAGTACAGAAACCAAATATGATTACAATCTTTCCGTCATGCCCTTTGGGAGTTGAAATGCAGTGTAGGGTATCAGAAGGAGTTCACTGAACGCCGCCATGCCCATAACCTTGTCGATGCTAAATGCAGTGCAAAGAAATCCAGACACTCGGCACAAATGAGTGTCGGGAATTGTACGCCATTGCAGACCTCAAAACGATTCGCTTTGTTCCAGCCTTTGAGGTATTTCTCGGTACGTGTCTGCCTCACTGTCGTCCGTACTTGCGATGTACGTTCTGTTCTGAGGTCTCCAAATTCTCAGTCTTCCCAAATCGTCTCCAAGTCGAGATCTTGTCGTCGTTCAGCGCCACACACACTCCAGCGCTTTCGCTTGTCTCTCGATCCAAACCCTCCTAAAGTTCTGCCACGTAAGGGCGCGTCTAGACCGCTCTTGCCCTTCACCTCAGTAGCATCGCCATTTTCTGCGGCGTCTGCGGCAGCCTTCAATTGGGCAATCCTCTCTGCCTCCATAGCTGCCTCCTCCGCATCAGGCGAATCTGGTATAGTTTCCAGACTAGAAATGCTTGGGCTTCTCGATCTTGTAGATGTCGGAGTCGACGGAACTGACGAGGAAGGAAACGAAGGAGAGACTCCGTAGCCATGTGAGAGAGAGTCGTATCCTCGTAGAGATGGCGAAGACGACGCCGATGTATATGTAGGCGTGGTAGGCATTGCGAACGAGGGAGTGTTGGCAGTACCAGGGTTCCGCAGTGGTGAGGAAGGGCGGCGATGTCGGGGCAGGACCATAGAGGGCGTCGTTCCAATGAGGTTTGGAGAACTGTATCGCTCTGCAGTCTGTCGATCGGGATCTAAGGCGGAGGCGCGGATAGGTGAAGTCGGGAATGCCTCGTCGACAGGCTTCCGTGGTGTTCGCACGCGGGCGGGCGATCCAGACGGACTGGCGGGGCGGAGTTGAGGGGAGAATAGGATGTGACCGGCGCCATTGACGCCAGGCATAGACTGGGTGCGAGACATGGGAGGGGCCAAACTCGCTGCTGACCTAGATCTCGTGTGGTGACCGGACAAGGGCGAGGTAGTACGTGGTCGGTAGGGCAGAGGGGTAAAGGTCCAAGATGGCGTAGTCGGAGAAGTAGGACTGGGATCAGTCTGGCGGCGGAGAGTCGGGGGCTTTCGCAAAGGTTCAGGCTCGGCAACGGCAGGAGGGAGTAATGTCGGGTTCTGTATACGGAGTGAGGGAAGTGGTGAGGATCGGAACTCCTCCATTCTCTCAGTCTCGGGAACGGGCTCCATGTTGTATGTCGGAGAGTCCGATGTGCCAGGCTGGCGAGGGCGACATTAGCTGCGGGGAACTGAGCTTGTAGACTGCGGAGGAAATCGGTTCCTTTCTCGTCGTGAAGGTTGCACGAGTTTCTGAGGGCGGTTGTTGTCTCGAGGGGGGAACAACTAGAGCTCGGCGTGGAGACCGGTCGGACAAATCAGTTGCAAGCCGTACTTGTGTGGAACTGCATCGACAGCTAGATCGATTGAAACTTTTGGCGTTGGGTTGGGCCTTGAAGGGAAAAGAATCGTTTGTTCTCGAGCGGTGTTGTTTGCAGAAGAGCGAGGAGGATTGGTGAGAGAGTGTGAAAGAGAGGAATGAAGTCGAGGAAGGCAGAGGGCAAGAGTCGATGGGATCGGTAGGAGCGGAGTTGCAACTGCAGCAACGACAGGGCAGGAGCAGAGAGACGAAACAAATAAACAAGGCACGACGAATAGGCGAGAAGATGGGCAGAAGGGCAGCAATATGAAGGATAAAAAGGCGGTGGTGTCAAGCAGAGTCACGCATTCCGGGTTGCAAATGAGAAGAAGGGCCCTGGGCGGCTGACGAAGGGGTCCTGATTCTGAAGGAGGGAAGGAGGGAAGATGGGCAGGGACGGGAGGGTAGCCGGGGGTGCCCATAGCACGCCCGGAGATATACGAGAGAGGACGGACGCGGATGCTGGAGGCGGAGAGGCGGGAGATGGAAGGCAGATAGGGAGTTTGTACAGCAATGCACTGGTTAGGAACCTAGGCAAGTACCTAGGGAGACGCATGATACATGAAAACGTGACGAGCATAAAGTACATTGGGGAGGTATTCTCTGTCAATCACAGTGGGGATGTATACATCCAAGCCATGAGGAAAGGGGGTTGGGGGGGGGAAGGTTACTAAGGCGCGGTTGGCACCCAAGACACTTTACCCTACTGAGCCCAGTATGGGGAGTATCTAATCGGTTAGGGGACTTGGGGCACGCCCAGAACCACCGAGAACTTGGGCACAGGGCTCAGGAGTAAGCTGTATTCGTAAGTTGCCTTACTGCGCATGGTAATGAAGCAGAGGAGGGGGGCGGGCGCCATCACTTTAGGCCATCGGCAAACCGCTGCTGCACGCTGCACGCCGCATATTACACATGGCTCTTTGTCTGCCTGTAACGGACCGCTTCTTTCTGTTTCCTTTCCCCTGGCTTGTATTAGCAATCTACTTGACGTCCGCAGGTTGTTTGTTGTGTCGGGGACGAGTGGATGTTGGGAGGGGGATGTCCTTCTGGCAAGCGACCCTTAATAAAAGATGAGAGGCGCTGAAGACGAGATTGATTGAGTTGGACTCGATACCTTATGCAGCAGCAGGAAAACAGCATAATGGGCACCCAAATTTGTCGAGGCACCCAGGTCGTCTTTACCCGAGCCTTAGCAAGCTTGCCTAGCTTACTACGGAGTACTTGACTGGCACATTGGTTGGTATCCGTATCCGTACTGCAGAGTCAAGACTCAGACCCCTCAGAGCGGCGCCCGCTACGGCGAACCATTTGGTCACGATCAACAGAAAGCGCTGCTGCAGGGGACTGGGATTGTCAGTTGCTTGTGTGCTGGTCATGCACCATACCTTCCTTACCTTGCCATGAATCTAGGTAGTCGTCTCCCAGCACCGCACAGTGAGGTAAGTACAGAGTCTGTCTCGTCTCTGGTCTGTCGTCAGCACAATCTCTGTTTCTGTACATCTCTCGTGGCACAGCATAAGAAACATATTCCACGCAGACACTGCCTCGAGGATGCAGGACTGGACGGTACCTATATTGCTGCAATGCTCCAAGTGGATGCGGCGGCAACCGGCCCAGCCTCCACAACTCATAGTCCTCCACTCTCCATGTCCTTTTTTCCCCTGCGAATAGAGGGCCGGCGCGGCGATGCCGCCAGACCCTGATTGATATCCGCGTGCTGCGCGCACGCGGATGCGGGGTGCAAGCAGCCTTCCATTTGCAAGTTGCGTCTCCTCTTTCCCCCCCTGTATTCCACTTTACAAGCAGTTGCCAGTTGGCGCAATTTGCTTCACTCCCGCCAACTTGCTCCGCAATGTACCTCCTGATCTCCAGGGTGACCCGTGGCGACCAACTTGCGATGACTTTTCCGTATCCGTTCTGTCCGAGTGTTATGCACAGCTCTATGTTTGGAGGCTTTCAGGCTTCCAAGATTCGAATCACAAACCACGCCAGAAGTTCAAGGCCTCTCGGTGATTGTGAGATTGCTACCGATTACCTTAGCGCTTAGAAGTCGAGCCAGATGCGGTACGGTGGTACCTGAATCAAATCAAATAAGGTAAGGCAGGTACAACATCTGGCTGGGGTGCCTCCCCTCGAGGTAAAGTGCATGCATGCACGTCGTTAGTGTGAAGAGTAGGTTTACGTAAATATACACCTAAGCAGCTTAGACAGGCCGCCATTGGTTCCTACTGTGAAGTGCACCTTACCCAAAGATCCAACGCCCTACGGATACACAGGTACATTAGCCTTTCCTTTCCATGTACTATAGCCGACGGGACGCCTCGAAACCAAGATTCAGATATGCCTCTCCTTCTCAGTGTCAATGACACCTCAATGGGAGCGAAGCACGCCCGGTCTCTCCTCATCCTGCATCAATCTTTCTGCCTTGGCGAGCGTCCGGACCGAGCTGGGAACTCCTGTGCAGAGCCCAGGTACCTGCAGGAGAAGGCAAGGAGTATAGGTGAGAAATCACTTCACTGATGCTGTCTGTAAGAGCATTGCTCTCTTTCACCTCTCTGAGCTACGAGCTGTCAATATACTCGATGACAACCCGATGGAGGAGTCGACTCTGGATCGCCTGAGATGTCGATGTGATCTAGCGTTGGGTGCAACCCTATCTGAGTTTCCAAGGACACCGCTGCCTCTATCATGCCGCCTCCTACTCAGAATCCCCACCCTCACCAATGTTATACAGCACTATAGTATGCACTCTAGCGTGCGGATATTAATGATCTCATCACAGCTAGAGCCGCGTTTCTCTGTTCCACAAAGTCCCATCCGAACTATGCCACGTTTGCGCAGCAACTACTTCGCTTACCAGCTGCTACAAAACCCGTCCTCGCCGAGATACGTTTCTAGTGGCTTACTTTGCTCCAGGAGAGCTCCTGGATCGTTTAACCGTCAACTTGGAACACTCAGACCATAAACCTATATACATAATGGCTCCTTTTCTGGCACACCAAATGCATCACTGCCATTCAATTCAAACCTCCTTGGCCAGCCTTACCCTCACCTAGGTACGCACGGTCTTTCCAGCTCCAACATCATAGTGTACACCATGTTGACGGCTAGAACGCCAAACACCAAACGCCAATATCCTCGGCCCACCCCCGGCTTCTCTGCATTGCATCGCCTAGTATCTTAAATCACCTAACCTCATTGAACAAAGCCTGCATTATGCACCTCGTTTTCATTGTCTTCAATGCTCGTCCGTCCGTCATACGAAGACGACTCCATGCCAAGTTTCCCTACCTCGTTTCTAGGCCCCCTATACCGATAGGCATTCAACAGACTGAGCCGACTCGAAGCAACGCACATTGTAACGGCCGTTTGCAGTATGTGAGCGGGCACATGGGGTTATTGAAGCCTCAAACCCTTCGTGCCATCGGATGATTTGTATCGCTTGGCCCGACTGATACATACCTACACAACAACCCCTGTGAACAACAAAGCTCGTCAGGAGCCTGAGAAGCGTACCGGTCTCATCCATGTCTGCGCCTCAACAGTCCCCTCCGTCCAAACCGAGAATTGGGAGTTTTGATCGCACACGAGTCTGCACACCTCTAAACATTTCTGTCAATGCTTTGCGTGTCGTGTTTTGGCACATCCGCTCGCTTGTCGGCACTGTAACCCGTCTAAAGGTGATCTGACACCTGGCCCAGCCGTGTCTGAATTGTCTCATCCAGTCTTCTTGCCGTCGGATGCCTTTTACTCCTCGACAGGTTCGCCGCTCCTACCCAGGCCCTGCTAGGAGGAGCTGACTCTAGGCCCACGCAATGCCAGTAGCTACGATACTGCCAGTGTGTCGTGACAAGTTTCTCCTATTGTAGGATTGCTCTTGTTTTGGTTACGAATTTGTGGAAACCCGCGAGGGGCGAAGCTTGCTTTGCGTTACGTTACTGGGAGTTCAACCCGCAGTCATCCCAACACAAGGCGAGGAATCTGAGCCCCAGTGTGGCGATTCCCGAGCATTCCAGACGTGAGGCGGCCTTGCATCTCCCGATGTAACTCGACCGGATCGGGCCCGCATCTCGGAGACCAATGCCGGTGTACGGGACCTAGGTATGATCTTACCTCTCGCCACGGTTGTGGTCCGCGCCACCCTTACCTCTCGAAATCTCAACTCAGAAGCGAGCGGTGAAGTCTCGTTTGCGGTATGCCTCACGCTCTGAGCAGCTAAACTTGCAAGTCTTTACAGATGACAAGATGCACATGAAGGCAGGACACATACGGTTTACTGTGTCTCGATGTCGAAGTATACGTATCCCAGCCTCCCGTTGTACTATGTTTCTCCAATTGTAAAAAAGATCGCCATGCTGTTGATATTTTGTTATCTTTCGTGGTGGTGGCTATCGAGGTACTGGAGCCTCTGACCTTCGCTCTGCTTAATTGTCTCCGTACATAGACCTCCAAGTCTTTACTTGCCGTATTCATTCCAATTAACGGGTGAGAAAATAATCTGCTTCCAGTTGAAAGCCGAGCGTGGCATCTATAGAGAAAGAACACCAAAGCCGGGATTTAAGCCCTACATCCATCATCAACGGTAGCCCTCTGCCTGTTACAGAGGCTTCCTGCTGAGCCTCGGCCCAGGTTTGTTCATCAAAATGATGGACATGCAACTTACGTCTCACGCAATGCGGCTCAACTCAGCCACTCGAGATCACCTTCCAGAATTTCTCGTCATGCTTTGCGATATCACCAGATGCCACTTACATTAGAGAGCATCAAAGAGTAGATCATCCTCACTGAGCGGTGGTATAATGATGCCAAACCTCACGTGTTTTATCAGCAGCCAGCTCAATTTTAAATTATGTATGGGAAACAATACAACACAGGACGAAGCAAGAAGGAATCAGACTTGGCAGTGCACGACATTGATGTCTTCTGAGTGGGTTTACGGAAAATTCCAACATCCATCGCTTGGTAATCAAGTAGAAGAGCCTTGCGGCTTTCCCGTAGCCTCATCTTCGACAATACTCTTGGCTGTGTCAATAGCCTCGACCGTTTCGCGGGAAGACTCAGAGGCACCTTGGGTTTCAGAGGTTTCCGAGACCTCAGAAGCCGCAGAAGTCTCTCCCTTCGATGAAGTGGCACCCTCGTCATCAAGCTCGTCAGGGGCCATGTCAAGCCTAGGAGTCGGGATAAGCTCAAAGATCTCATGAGCTGCAGTACTATCATCATCCGAATCAAGTTCAACCTTGGGGACCTCGACAGCCTCAAAGGTCTCGAGAGCTCTAAGGCCATCACCCCCAGAATCGTCATCGACAACGTTGCGCTTTCGTAGCGTGTTCTGTAGGCTCTTGAACGCATCTGCCGTGCGGTCTCTGAGTGTGTCCAGACGCTTACACTTGTCACACACTCCAGCCTTCCGGACGCAGTTCATCGAGTGTACACGGCGCTCGATGCATGTGTGACTAGTAGCACTTTCCGTGTACTTGAGGAGGTCCCTCTGCAATTTGCAGACTGTAACCTTTTTGCCGAGTTCACTGTGCTTGCACTCGTATACGGTGGCACGGTAGAAACACATGGTTGCTAGATAAAAGAGTAGTGGAAACGGAAAAGTCGAGCGGGATTGGACTTACTGGTGTTTTGTGGTTGAAGTAGAGATCTGACATGGCAACTTCGACCCGAACCTCGACACACTTATATGCTCGACGTCAGACCGTGTGGCATAGATGACCTGCCTAGGTCGAACATGAATCGAAACCCAAAGTACTGCAGTTGTTTCTAGACATGTAGATGTTTCGCGGGCCTCTGACTGATGTTTTCTACCAAAGTTAACAAAGGGGATCGAGATCTTGTGTCGTTATCAGGCGGGATGTCTGAACAAAGGATGCGAGACAACAGCACTGCCTAACATAACATCGTCACGACCAAAGGATCAACTAGCATTGTTTAGAAGACTAGAGGTTTATTATGTGGACTTCTTGAAAGACAGGTATTCACTTTCGAGAACCTCTACAAAGGTTGATGCCCATGCTGTGCCTCCGGGCGCCTGAACATTATCCACCTTTGGCACTTGGTACCCTATTCTCCTCAGAGTCGATATCGAACTCGACTCGGCGTTGGACGATATCACAACTCCTCGGGTTGCCAAAAGACACTCAATATCCGTAGTGGAGTCGCCAAAATACACCAGCGCCCCAACATCCTCTACTCCTCGCCGAGCCGCCAATGTTCGAAGGGCTCGCAGCTTATCCTCGCACGTCATCAAAGATGCCTGCCTTGTTGATGAGCCTGCTATTTCCGGCCCTGAGATGCTTCCGTTCAGCTCGATCTCATTAGCGACAACGTCGACGCTATAGTCTGAGAGGACACCCTTGATGAATGATCTAGACCAGTTGACGGAGACTACTGCGACGGACCAGCCCTTCTCTCTGGCAGCATTCATGAGCTCCGCAAAACCATCCCTTAACTTGACTCTCCCTTCCTTTCGACAAGTTTCACCGGCAAGTGTAAGATATTCCAGGCCGATGCCCCGGAAGATGCCTGAGCTCTCGACTCTCTGGACTGATAGCATTTCAACCTCCTTCAGACCCCGCAAGAAGGCGAGCTCGTCTTTGAGCGAGGATCTGTCATCTGCGATTGGAAGATACGTGGACACATGGTTGGCATGGTCTTTGCTGTAATCTAGCAGGATCTGCTGCCATTTTGAAGAGAGATCAACCCCGCGCTGCTGCTGGAATTGGAGGCCGATTTCTGCCAATGTACCAATCGTATCCTTTGTCGTAATGGTACCATCAAAGTCCAACACGAGAATGGGAGTTAAAGGGGGCATTTCCGCAACACGTGATATAGCACGGTCTTGACGTTGTGTTTGGGAAGATTGGCTTAGTTGGATCCAAGCCGATGAAGTCGAGTGATGATGACTGTGCACTTCCCCACTTTGATCACAAGTGGTGTTGGACTAGGAAAGAAAGACAGCCATGCTCATGTCAATAGTCGGGACAGTGGACACTCTGTTGCTACCACCATCGGATGTGGACTTCATCGAGTGCATCCCAGGCAGAGTGTATATCGCTTTCTCTGCTTTGCTCTATCGTTCTGTGATGGGAGGGACAGCTGCAAACCCTTCGACACGTGTGTCGTCACCTAGTGTCCCAGGGGGTATCAAAAAGTCCCTAACTGTAAGAGCCACCTCCATCCAAGACTTTCCATGCGAAAAAAAAATTCCCTTCCAAACGCCTTGCGATACCCTGCGGTTCCTGTGCCCGATCTGTGTATAATTGCGAATGGTCACTAGACAACATCCTCCATAACCACTTCGTCATCGTCGTCCTCTGCGGCGGCTTCCTCCGGTGCCGTCTCATTAGTGGCGCCGGACGCCATGCTCTTCAAGTGCTCCTGAAGCGACCACTCGTTGGCGTGAATGCCGGACCTGTTAAGTACCGCTATCTTTTCCAATGTCTGGCGTAAGAAAGCCTCGGGCTGGTCAAATCTAGCCTTGAGAATCGACATCTTCCAGTACTCGTACTTCCTGAAAGCCTCCATGAGACCATCCAACAGTTGTTCCTCCGACATGCGGGCGGATCTGTTTTCGGATTTCTTCGGCTTGGTGGCCTTGGTAGGCGCAGACGTTTTCTATTCTCCATTAGTACTGGATCTACCAGTTCCCACTGAGTGCTACTCACAATGAAGGAGCCAAACTTCTCAACCGCAGCTGCAGAGCCATGGTGGATAATGCTGTTGGCTGCGCGCTGTTCCATGATCTGCAGGGTATGCTTGGGCCGCTGAGCCTCGACTTGCTTCCGTTGAAGAATTGCCTGGCTCTCCGCGTTATCGACTGGCTTGCACGCCAGCTCGTACTGGATCCTAGCGGCAATCTTTGTCTTCTCTGCGTTGAATTAGCCGCTGATCTGCGCCACTTGGAGAGCATCAAACTGACTTGGGATCGCTTTGCGGTAGTAGGGTTGCCATTTGCGACCCTTCTCGAATGGTTTCTTCTCTACCTTCTCCGTCTTGGGTCTCAGGAATCGAGCCGGAATGCCAGCGTTTGCAGCATCTGTTCGCGCCTTGGATTTGGCCTTGAAGCCAGGTAGGTCCTCCTCGGTGAAAACGAACGTGCTGCGCGCGATCTCCTTGCCCATCTCTAAGTCGTATTCTTTCGGCATCAGCTGGTGCTCGGCGCGGTCGGAATTGAGTAACATTTTGAAACGGTGCTGCGCAAAAAAAGTTAGCTCAACCGTCGATCCAGACTTGTCGCGTCGCGTATATCACAGTACCTCAACGCTACCATCTGGACGGACCACATCCCACTGTCGCATGGTGCCAATCTCGATTTCTGCGTCATCCGGCAAGCTATCCCATGCTTCCCACAGGTCCTTCGGAACGCGTGCTAGATATGCCTGGCCGAAGGAGCCTTGATCACCGAACTGGTCGAAGAACTCCAGATCGCCAGCATCTTCGTATAGGTCATCGTCGTCGACAGGAGCGGCAGGTATGGCTTCGGGATCGGGCTTCATATATGGCTCCGGCTTGATGTATGTTGAGTCCGCCATATTGAATATTCGGGATTACCTCAAATGCTCCGTTGCTATCCAAGGTCGCGAAGTCGAGGAAGAGTTGGTGTTTTTTGCAATGACGGCAGAGGGATCAGGATAGTCCACATCTATCTTAGCTCCGTCACAGCAAGCAACAGAGAAGCTACGAGTGGCAGTCAAGATCCACTCAATGCAGTAGCCTGGAGGTACCTTTGTGCCCCGAAGTAGACTAGCTCAGTCATCATGTGACATGGGTGAATCGGAGCCAACCTCGACTTTTGGAGGTTCAAGTACCTACCATGCCACTCGACTATTTCTCGAATCCAAATACTAACACCATAATACTTTGACATCTGCCTTGGTTCGTAATATGAGCAAGTCAAATGTCCGAGCCCGGAGGTCTCAATCATTCATTATTAGAAGCAAACCTATTTGCACAATGAGCCCGGCCATCATTTATCCTTCGAGGTACCCCAGTGACAGTCACGGTCTGCCTTAGCTCTATGACAAGGGCCCGTCCAGGTCAGCTTTGGGAGCCACTTAAAAGCCGCATGCCCCACTACGGATCTGGCACTTCAGTGTTCGTGACCTCTTTAAAAGGACCCATCCACCTGCAACTTCCCGCCATCACTTACATACTCCAGCAACAACGAATATCTGATCTTTGAGTATAGTACTTCTTATCGGCTCGGCCTGTTACCACAGAGCCTCGAGGGGTCCCCTCTAGCAAGACAGAAACATTCTGGTACAATAACCTACTATTCGAATTACCTAAATACCCACTACATCCATTATTTGAACGATGAGCCTGCGATTCGCCAGTTCCCCATCAACGACCTTACGACCGAGCGCTCTCATCACGGCGGCAACGACCATCAGCTAGGCCCTCTTCAAGAATTCACCTACATCACTCACCATGGCGCCGACTAAGTCACTTGCCGAACTGTGCATTGCTATGTGCCAGAGACACATCACAGAACTCAGCAGTGTCGGCAATGGCGACGCCCTCCAATACCACCATGTTCGCGAAATCCTCCTCAGAGTCACGAACCCGGCTCAGCTCCGAGAGATCGAGTTAAACTCCCCTTTCATACAGGGCGAAACCTCCGAGCTTTGGCTGCGCCTTATCAAGAAGGAATTTCCATCCGAAAGCCACGAAAAGAATTACGCGCCTAAGAATCCGTCAAAGTGGTACAAGATATACGAGAGATATGCGGAGGAACGCCGCGAGGCTCAGCAACAGGCTGAGGCCGAGCTTCTCGCCAGGGTCCAGGGGCTCCAGCAGAAGAAGGACAACAACGTCAGCAGAATCGTAGACCCCAAGTTCGCTAGGTTTTTGCCCAAGCCACCCAAGACCGGTCGCACCTTTTCAACGCAGCCTCGAGGAAAGAGGGAGCTCCCGAGTTCCCTGAGCTGGGCCGCCGGAAGCAGAATGAAGATGACGACGGGCGCCAGCGTCATGAAGAAAGCCCGTAGAGAGGCTAAAGAGATTGTCGGCATAAGAAGCACCATGGCTGTACCAACTGGCATGATCAGGGCCCCTCGATTGAAACAGGCCCCGCCCTCGATGGCTGCTGAGCACCGAATCTCAAGCCAACCAGTCTTTCGGCCAACATCTACCAGCAGTCGCCCGCCCACACATTCCACATATGTCACTCCCCAGTCCAAAGCCACATACGTTTCCGATTCATCAGACGGCGAAGACGGTGATTTGTTCAGCGATGAGGGAACGCCGAAGAAGAACAAGAACATAGTATCTTCCTCTCGCCACAGTCGGGATACGGCAGCTTCCTCCATGCCTACAAACCCTTCCCAATCCTCAGCATACAAGGATCGCAATTCTTCCACATCTGCAAGATCTACCTCTAGTTCGCAAACATCGGGCTTGCGACGTGGGGGTGGTATTCTCGGAAACGCTGCTCGGCCCAAAAGCAATATCAGAGTTGAGCGTCCACCAACCAGACCCGAGCCATCATCCTCTGCGAGTATGGATTATTCCCGCACGCACAAAGTACTTGCTCAGAACAGCGGCCCGCAATCTCCTCCTTTGCCAGCGTCGTTGGACGAAGCGCAACAAGCTCGTCCAATTCTGGGCAATCAGGAGCTGCCCAGAAAGAGAAAGGCTGTCGACATTTTCATGCCGAAAAAGAAGACTAGACGCTGAAGGACAGTATCATCAGGTATGGCTAAAATGAGGAATCACGAGTATTGTAAAATGAAAGGTCGTCGGGCGTTGGTATAGGGACAGGTCACATAGCATTGGAATTCAGGCGTTGGGTAGGTTATGGTATACCCTCAGGCTTCGCATGGTCGTTCTGCCCATCATGGCAGGGTGAAATTGAACTCGTTTGAAGATGCTTGACCGTGCATTGGCTTTCAACTCAGCACCATTTGTTTGATCCCATGCTGTGTTCATGTGACTAGCTTCATTCTCCATGTGCGGATTATCGCAGGCTGCCTTTACACGCTAGATTTTGGTTCCCTTGGTGCCAAATCCCAATCCAGGAGTTAGCTTTTGAGAGTTAAGCCTGGCATTCTAGCCTGCCTTGAGAACCCCCACCCTTTGGACAGGCAATATTCTATACTTCCATGTCGCAAATGGACGTCGCTACTGCATATCATCCCCTATCGGCTCTGTAGCCGATGAATGCTCCGTCTCAAGAACGCTGAAAACACCTGAGCTGCGTATTGTTTACTGGCCTGTCTTCTCATGCTCAAAGCCATTGCCAGAGACAGATCTAGTTTCCACCTCGAAGGGCGAGAACCAAATGCAATGTAGCGCCAGCCTCGAGGCCATATTCAGATGCGGACTTGTCGTCGACCCTGTTCAAGCATCTTGTCAGCGGAATGGTCTCCGTAGGAAATTCTCCCAAGCTCCCCCAGCCCCATCACACTGGCGGAAGCATGATTTCACGCTCCAAGAGGATTACACCTTACATTTGCTTTCCACCGTAGATGAGTCTTTGCTGCACGGGCGGGATGCCTTCCTTCTCCTCAACCTTCTCCTTGATCTGAGAGACCTATTGCAAGGTTGGTCAGCGTTCTATTCTCCACCTCTCTGTCCCCGTCCGTTGTATTCAGTGGGCAATGTGTCGGATGGGTACGCGCCTTGTATTCGTTCTCGATGTCCAGCTCAATCTCCTTGCCGGTAAGCGTTCGCACCCTAGTTGGCGTAAGCAGTTTATTCGAATGGGTACAGTCGGGTCACCGCCTCCAGAGGTCCGGAGGGCAGAGATGCGCATACTTGATTAACATTGTGGCGTGTGTGAAATGGCGACAACAATCTATGGGCTTGGTTTTGGTTTCGAGGGGAGGTACAAAATGCGAGGCTGTGTGGTATTCGAATTCGACTTGGCGGGGTCGTGCGGTTTGTTGGTTGAGGATGTGACGGTTGTACGATTAGTCTCGAGCTATCCGCAGGCAGGAAGTCGTGGTGGGGGAGGGGCCCTTCTGTAAGCTGAGCAGGGGAGGGGGACCTCTGAGATGCCCGGGCCCACCCCAGGCACGTCTTAAAGCTGTGCAGGCATCCACCAGTTCCGACGGCCTGTGCTGCAAATAGATCGACGGCTGTCGAAGAAAGTACTTCAACATACGAAAGACAATCCCAAACGTAGCAAGCTTGCTACTGTAAAGTACTTTACAGATGAGCAACGTAACGAGGGACATTCACGGTGTGGAATTTTCTATTGTGCTGTACCAGAATTACTGAAGCGGTTCTGTTTGTTGTACATGGATTGATTTTCCACCAACCCTTTCGAGCCTCCTACGTTTGCAGATGAAGTGTCCTCGAAGCTCTCAGAGGCGATTTTTTTCATTATTATACAAGTCCATGCCAGTTTTCGATGTTGTAAGAGTACAGTGTGGAGAATTCGCGCCCAAATGCCGATGCCTTATTTCTTCTCGCTATCATCAAACACGTTCAGGCCCAGTCCCTCAGAGTCAAGCAACAAACGGTTCTTGCTGCCGGACTCCTGCATCTGTTGAGCAATGGCGCGCGCGTTCTCAATCTTCTTCAGCTCGACGTAGGCCTTGCTCTTCTTGATGGCATCTCCAATCAGCTCAGCAGAGCGAGCCTCACCCTGGGCCTTGACAACCATGGCCTGCTTCTCCTGGCGAGCCTTGTCGACAACGAACGCCGCGCGCTGAGCCTCTTGCTGGGCAACCTGCTTCGCCTCAACGGCAGCTGTGAATTCCGGGGAAAAGGCAAGGTGCTATGGCAAATAGTTAGCAAGGCATCATGGGGGTTTCATTGGAGTGTCGTTTACATACCGTCAGGGACACATCGTCCAGCAGAATATTAAACCGTGCAGCACGGCGGGAGAGGTTCTCGCGAACCAACTTGGCAACCATCTCTCTCTGGGTAATGAGTTGGGAAGCGTTGAATTGAGCAACAACGCTCTTCAGAACCTCATTGACGATGGATGGAAGCACTCTCTCGTCGTAGTCTGTGCCGAGAGTGCGGTAGATCTGAGGCAGGGCCTTAACATCAGGCCTGGAAAGAACACGGCAGGTGATGTTGACCATCTGTAAGTCCTTGGTTCCAGTGAGAGAGGCGACGTTTCTGGGCTTCGCGCGAACATCGTAGGTGACGGGGGTCTCGAACCAGGGGATGATCAAGTGGGTTCCTGAGAAGAGAAAAACTGTCAGCACGTTTTCATTACCAATATCAAGGGGAACGGTGCCTCCTCAAGTGGTGTGGAGGGGTGCTGCCTACCTTCGCTGTAGATCTCCTTGCTCACACCCGTTGTCCTCCGGTACTTGATCGCTCTGTGGCCACCATCGACGTTGAATAGCGCATTCTGGGCCACGAAGGCAGCACCTCCCAAAAGAACCAGACCGGCAAGTCCCATGCCAGCGCCGCGAGGGCCGCCAGGCATGCCGCCACCGCCGAAGCCGCCGCGCTTCTGCTGCTGTTGAGCGACGGCCCTGAAGCGCTCGTAGGCCTCCTCCATGGGATTTCTTCCTCCAGACATGATTAAGTTCGGGCGTGGGCGCGGCGCGTCGGTTCGATGGGTATTCAGCTCGAGGCAAGGGAGCTTCGATCGGTGCTGTTTTGCGGTCGATTGACTGTGGGTTGCTGGAGCTTCGGAATAGGAAAGCAGATGGTGGAGCTTTGTCAGATCAGTATTCAACGTCACGGTTCGTCTGGCGGAGCTCAAAAAATGGTGTTGGCCGGTGCTCTCGGCTTTGGAGTGTGCCCGCGGCGGCAGCTGGCAAGCACCTCAGGCAACTCCCGGTTCGTTCGAGCCGTCATCAACCTGGAAGACGCACAGACCACCCCCGGATTACTTACCTGCTCAAGTCCTCAGCTGTTACCATCTGGCCAGAGCTGGCCCATCATAACAAGCAAGCCAGCTTCCATGTGTGAGAGCAGCTTCAACTCTTATCTTCACGACATGAAGCGGATCAGGTGGTTTTTGATATATCATCCGGTTCCATGAAATATTGGATCATGGTTGGGCGCTTTGTATACTTCGGTAAAAGTCTCAAGCTCGGGCACCTGCGCTGCAGGTCAGCAAACATCGAAGACGACTGACAGAAACTGGAGGCAGCTTAGGGCCAGACTTTTTTTCTACCATTCGCCTTCATCTATGAGAGCAATTTCAGGTGGATCTTGACTCAAGTCGAAGAGGTCTACACCATGGGCTAGCTCACCTACCACGTCGTTGGCAAACATTTGGTTGCGTCAACGCCAGGTAGAGAGCACTGCGATCAACATCTCAAAGAGTGAGTCTACGTAAACGTCGTGAAGATATTATTAGCCTGATGGCGCTCCTAAAGCATACCGGCATCCCCATTTGGACAGCCTCAACACTGTGATACTATCGCGATACACTAACAGAATATTGTCATCGCAGGTCAGCTCATTTTCGACTCTACACCCTCCTTGCGGCCTCTTCAGCGCGTCTACCAAACTTCTTGATCCATGAAGCATCGTAGGAATCTAATTCTACCGCGCGTTGAGGCAAACTTCTCTTAGCGGGATGCACGTTGGCTGCGGTGATGTTCCCGCAGTCGGGCCTCTTCAAGTCATTTCCAAACACATCAACGGCCCAGAGGAGAACACCGTTCGTCCAGCCGAATCCTTCAACCACTTCATATTCTCCACCGCCACCCGCAACGTTGGTTGAGTTATCGCCGTACTTCTCAAACATGGTTCCGACGCTCTGGGCGGTCAAGCCCTGGAGCTGAGGAGTCTCGCTGGTTGAACCCCCTGTAGCGTACCACGTGCAAAAGGTAGAGTCCAGGTACCGTTGCCCGAGGCGGAGGGCGAGACTCTGGACATCACGCCAGGCGGGATCCGACTCTCCAAAGGTCGCAGGTGTCCTGCGGAGACCTTCCATAAGAACGTGCATCAAGGGCGGCCAGACGTTGGGCTGATCCCACTGTTGACCTGTCTTGAGGTTTGTGGCGGGGATACCGCCCTTCTTGATGTCTAGATACTTCTCAACACGCTGGTAGGCTTGCTTTACCGCGTAAGGGTTATTCTTGAGGTGAGAGGGTGCCGCTCCTGTCCAGAACGGGTAAAATTGGGAAACCGAAAAGAGAACTTGTTGTTCTGCTTCGGCGGTGTTCGTTTCAAGAGTGCTGGCATCATCATCTTTCGGAATGTAGATATTCTGCCCTCCTGATGTCACGTTGTAGTCAAAGTAGCTTGAAAGGGTCGAGTTCCACATCAAATCGTACATAGCTTGACTTCGTTTGGTGGCAAGTTCAGTCCAAGCCACTGCTCCCGTGCCGTTGTTTGTGGAGTTGAGTAGCGCAGCAATGGTCATCTCATTCCAGTACAAGATGGAGTTCAGCTCCACAGGGACAGTTTCCAGAACGTTGAGAGATCGGAGAGGGAAGTAGACGTCCCTCGCCGCATCTGCAGGTCGAGAAAGCCATCGTGAGCTGTAGTCCCAGCCACTCTCTGCACCGGACGCAAGATTGGCATACACACGGGCCTTTTCGGTGTCGTTCAATTTCTCGACCTCGGGGTAAATGATTCCGTTGGTTGAGTAGTAGGAAGCGTTCGAAGCAGTGACGTAGTCTTCTCTGTATGATTCGGGTCTTGGTTGTGTGTTGGTGACGTTGTATCTGATCCTTGATGTTAGCTACAAGCTACTAAGTTTGAAGGTCTTGATATTTTACTGACTGATTCAGAGTGTATGTAGTCCCGTTTTTGTTGACTTCAACAGTTCTGTTTGTCATCCAGAATTCATGCTCCTTGATAAGGAGAGGGATTGCGCGTTCTAGTATGCTCCGGTCGCTTGTATACTCGACATAGAGGCGCACCATCTGTGCCAGCAATGGCGGCTGTGAACGGTTCAGATAGTAGATTCGAGCGCCATTGGGCACAAATCCGAGTTTTTCCACGAGATCCAAGAAGTTTTCGATAACATTCTTGGAGATCTCAGTGAAAGCGCCACCCGTACGTAAGAGACCCTCAAGAATCCCTACATGACATTGAAAGTCAGTTGACAACTCGCCATACGAACATGAACTTCAGTAGTGTGTTCTTACAGAAAGAGTCCCAATAGTAAGGCTCGCGGAATCGGCCTCCGGCAACCACAAAGGTGTGGTTGACTGGGATAAAGCTGTTCGGACATGTTGTGCAGTTGCTTGCAGAGCCAGCATAGGTGCGGGTCAAGTCCGGCCAGATGGCAATGACCTTCTGAGAGAATTCCTTGATCACTGTATCGTTGATCTTGTCGAGAAACTTTGGGTCCGTCTTCAATTGGTCCTTGGGTACTTCCTTGAGCTCACCACCTGCTGCGGCGAAATTGGCGCGTAGGAAGTCATTGAGTGCAGTATTATTACTCAAGGGTTTCGACAGATTATTGAATGCTGCTTGTATCTCTTCCAGGGACTTAATTGCAGGCCTTTCGAGTAGGGATATGTCAGTAGAGAGCCTAGGCCGAATTTTGGTCACATGGTGATGTCAATGGGCACTCACATGTCTACAAATGTCTTGGAGTCTGAGAACGGCCTTGCCAGTTCAACTTCTTTCAAGATGTCGCCATGGCAGTAAATGGGCGAGTCGCAAGGAGCGACAACAGACCCATTCTCATACAAAGCCTGAGCTGTCCGAGGCAAGACAGCTACAGCGGCGAGGGCCAGCGCAAAGTTGACCATGGCGTTCAATTGAGCTCTCGGAGGAGCTAGTATATACACAATGGTAGTATTATTGAACGGGTAGATCCAGGGACGCAGACGAGGTGTTCACTTCGGATGAAGTGGCTTACGACCAGGTATAAATGGGCACAGAGGGAAGCACATTATGCATATGGGAAGCTGCCAGGCTACCCACCAGGATCGGCTGTAGCTTCACTTGCCTTAGGTCGGGAGGGGAAGCTTGGACGGGTTCGTCGCCAGGAGGGATCGTCGGTCGCCTGAGATGGACAAGTACCGCAGCAAGGCCAGGGCAGACCCGGGCCGGTACCAGGGGGGCAGTGAACCCAAATGTATGTACATAGGCTTTCCCAGGATGTTAGACATAATGACCAACACAATTTTGAAATCTCCTTCGTTTCCTGCGGGTTTACGTGGGCGGCCGAGCAGAAGGTTACCGTTGTTCGGCGCCGTTGGGCTTGGAATATGCTGGGTCCGAGTCAATTCTGCGCCATCGCAGGCATCTTGGGTTCGCGGCATGGCAGACGACACGTTGGACGCCACAACACGCAACTTTTACCAATCGAGACAAGGGCGCTGTCACGTCGAGCAAGGCAGAGAGACAGACACCGAGAAATGAAGCTGGCTGGCTGGCTGGCTTCCCCAGTCCTGCTTGCAGACGACGTGCAGCTTTCCCCGCATGATCCAGTCCTTTGGGGAGCCGTGGTAGAGCCGCGGTACGAGCGTCATAGCACCGATTGGCCGCCTGTTTTGTTTCCTCTCAGCTTCTCAGCGGTTTCCCAGCTCTGGGAGAAGCTTCTAGCTCCAGAAACGTCCATGAGCATGATGTGCCACCAGGCTAGGCGTATTAGTGCAAGGGTAGGCGGAAAGTATGGGTGACGAGCATCGTATGTCATCCCACTTGGACCGACAGGTATTGTGACGTCAGCAAGGATGACCGTGGGATCTTGCGAACTTGGTATTAGTCTTGTCTTGGGAATTGCGGTAAGAATGCCTGTTTAGCGGGGTATTAAAGGCTTTGTTCGGTGCTCGCCAGACCATGCGGTAATTGTTATTGGACAAATGAGCCGGGCTCTGCGGAGAAGCTCGGCGGTCCCGGATACAGCTTTCCCCACACTCCTCCGGAAATTGCTCCGAACGTTGTCTTGATGCATTCGAATACAGATACCACCTGTACGTTTGTCCACACAACGATGTCAGCGGCGTTGGAGTAACCCTCGAGGTCTTCAATGTTCCGCGTTTGCATTTTCTTTCTTCTTCTTCTGCTGTCTGCCCATCGTCGAGACACGGAGGCGCAGGCGATGTGCGAGTGATGCTTTCCCCACGTGCAACAAAACGATTGCCAGCGATGTACTCCGTACTTTCAACTTTTTTGCCCAAGGGTCTACCTCCTTGTGTAGCTTTTGTGCCTGGAGAGGAGCGAGAGCGAGATTCTCAGGTGGTGTGGGAGAAACCCAATATTTTGTTACATCTGTTGACGTGTAATCGTAGGAAATCCCGTTCCCATCGGTCTTGAAACTCCCACAAGTTGATTTACGACAACCACTCGCTTTCGAGAGTTGAAGGCATCTTGAGGGATGAGGGTTGACCACATTGATATTAAATATTGGCCAACGACCATTGGGGCTGTCGTATTCCAACTCCCTATCAATATGTAGGTACTTTATGCTCGATGATATGTTACATTTGACTTCTCAGTCATTTTACTCATCGGCACTTCAAGCCGGCATTGCATGTACAAACGCCTGCAAAGCTGATCCACGTTCGTGCAGCGCGCCGTAGCAACCTTGATCACGGTTTAATTTCACTTCGCGCCAGAGCCATCTTCATCTACCGCACTTGAATGCGTATACACCTCTTTCAGAACCTGCAATCGGCAACGGAGTTCTCGAGTCAAGGCCGACGGCGCGTAGTAAATATTTATTCGTGAGAATGACATATGCCAAATGGCTTGATCATGGGCCATCCTGAATGATAGAATTCGTTTTTGATATTTTGCACACCAAAGTTTGGTTGCAGACCTCAAGCATGATGTCTGGTTTTGCTCGCCATACATAATATTTTGGACGGTTGCCCCGTCTTTCACAATGATTGACTTGTTGAGACGACAGGGATGAAGCAAGGGTCGCTCGTCTTACATCAGCTGCCCTAAGTAGAACCCTGAAAGGGCAGCCAGCAAGGCTTACTTTCTTCACGCAATCGGGTCATAGTCAACTGACACGAAGGCCGAAGCTGTGACAGCCTCAGATGATTATAGCATAGAGACGTAACATCGTTGATTGAAGTTGGCATCGTATGAGGAATATCAAGTCCAAGCAAACCCGAGAAACCACGTTCAATCTTAACGCGGCTGGTACATGTTCGTTGGGCCCTTCTCCCCTCCTGTTGTCTGACTACCGCCCTCCAGAGCTCGCCGAAAGACTTGCTCTAGCTTAGGCAGAACCCTGTCTTGGTTCTGGGCAATTTGATAATGGATAACCAATCTGTTGCCAATGAGCTTCAGTCCCAATTCCGCCCCAAACGCGATGAAATCCTGGGTGCTGCACCCAGCAGCATCTAAATCAAGCCAGCACATGTTGGTGTCGACCGGAAGGGTAAGCTTGCCACCGAGACTAGTCCAGAGTTCCCCGATTCTCTTTGCGGTCTCATGAGACGACTTCAAAAGACCACCCTCGCCATTGGGCCCCTTTCCGAACGTCTCGTCAACGGCAATCCTAGCAGGAGCTGCTACCACTCCAGACTGCCGGAGACCACCGCCGATAGACTTGCGCACCCAGCGGGCGTGCTTGATTTGCGCTGCGTCGCCCACAACGATGCTTCCAATCGGAGCACCGAGACCCTTTGAGAAGCACAAGCTAACCGTGTCGAATAGTGAGCAGTATTCGGAGAGACTACCGGCTCCAGAGGCAACAGCCTCCCACATTCTGGCCCCATCGCAATGAAGCTTAAGGTTGTTCTTCCGTGCAAACTCTGCGATCCTCTTGACCTCGGCCAGGGGGGTCACCACGCCGCCGAGGGTGTTTTCCAAGCTTATGACCCTGGTAGGACAGGTATGGACATCGTCATCGAGAGCAGCATGGGCCTCAATGTCCTCTAGTGTCAGGTAGGCTCCATTGCGTGGTACCACGGGTTGTATCATGGCGCCACAAAGCGAAGCAACGCTGACGAATACCAATCAGTAGATGTCGCACGGTACGGGAGCTAAAGGGGCATGCACGAACCCGCCAGCCTCATACTTGATAATATGTGAGCGATGGTCACTCAAGACGCTGTATGGAGGTTGCGTGAGGAGGGCTCGGAGCGCTACTTGGTTCCCCATGGTCCCGGAGAGAACCAAGAGAGCGGCCTCCTTGCCAGCAAGAGCTGCGACGTGAGATTCGAGTTCCATCGTTGTGGGGTCTTCCACGAAAACATCGTCTAGCAAACTGCAATTTTGAATGGCAGCAAGCATCGAAGCCGTCGGAGTGGTCATAGTATCACCTTGTAATTACGGTTACTTTACCAATCTTTGATCAAGCCGACGTCCTTACTTACTTCTTAGGTCGAAGCCAGCGGCCCCGAGATGACCAGCCCAAGCATTCTGCTTAGGGGCACCAGCAGTGCCATTGCTCGTGTTACTGACAGCAGATGGGGACATGGCTCCTGAAATTGATCGGGGAGATGATGTGTGGATGGATGCGGCAAAGCCTGGAAGCGTGTGGCGGGTGAGGGCGTTGAAGGCCGTTGACAGCTGCGGGGTTGGCTGGTTATGAGATCGCCTCAATGCCGCGCGCAAGGCGAATGGAACTGTGGGTGATCGATTGGTTAGTGTTCCGGCCTGGCTTCAAGAGCTTCAAGAAGGTAGGATGCTCTTATTTGAGTGATTTCTAGTGCTTTGGCATTGAACAGCGAGGTGTCTGGTACCATGAAGCTGTTTTCTGAGCAGGATTAGACTTACTCGTTCTCCTTGCCAAATTCATCTTTTCTGGGGTCTGGCCGGGACGAGATGCTTTCGTGGGCCGGTTGTATACAAGCTCTCCATACAGATACGCAGTATCGGTGCGTTAACTGGCAAGTCCGGGGTCGGAGTCGGGGTCGCTGTGGAACAACCAGCGACGTTGTCATGAGTGGAGCACCACAAGAAAGTTCCGAGGTACGGATGGTCTTGGACGCTTGGCAGTTGCCCAACAACAGTAACAATGGACCACAAAGCTGAGTGTAAATCCGTGCTACTGGAATTTACCATTCAATTACTTCAGAGATGGTATATCAAGTTGCTTCTGTTTCCGCATATATTCATGTCAGTACGGATAATTAAGTACTTACTATCCGTGCTGACTACGTAACTATGTAAATCGTACGTAGCTTTGCTCGTATGTACCTATTGGCTCGGCATCGACTTGCCGGGGCGTTTGACATCAAGCGCTCTTTTGATGTTGCTTATCTTATCTTGATCTCCGCAGGGGGCTCTGGAGTAATGACTTAACATGCGATGGTTTGGCTAATGCGTCTCACAGAAAAATTGGAGAAGGCTACAATATACCTAAAGGGTCGTTACTCGGTATAATTTCAAATGTCGCAGGAACACCAGCTTGGCGTCTTGACATCTCAGCTCTAAGCCTCCTCCAGCGGTGAAGAATGTTTTTGTTTCAGACCAATAGGTGCTTGAATCGAGCAAGCTTCGAAGCTGGGGCCCGTTGGGCTTGGCCCGTGATGGCATTGCTAGAACTTGAAACCTGGACGGTGGGACAGTGGCTGCTCAGACACACCAAGCTCTGAAGGCCTTTCTTGAGCAGGTATTGAGACGAAAGCTTCACCTTGGCTTGTGTTGTCTTTCAGGAGTAGGTGGGGGGTTAATATGAGGGATCGTGAACTTTTGAATTTTTTCTTAGGCCATAGCATACGGCATCGTGTATACCCGCAACAGGCAGCCATCATCAAAGTCCTTTTCTGGTGTTGTTGACGGTGGAGTTCCGCCGACGATGGATTGCGCCTCACAGCTTGCGTAGGGGCGTTACTCAGCACATTCGGTGCCATACCATGTTGATCGTCGGAAAAGGAGCGCGACAGTGCTGACAGCTACCGTCGTTGACCTTGGCGCAGCAATGCCCAGCTTTTATCTTTGTCGCGCTTTCACCTGTTCGAGAGACATACGACTGCGTAGGGCCACTGGTCAGGAGTGACTAGACCCCACTCGGCCTGGTAAAAGCTTCTTCTTGCTACACCCCTGTTGGCGGCACCAATCACGCAGGACGTCCCCTGCTTCTCATCTTCTACATTCACACTACCCACGCACGACGGAACCACGGATGTTCGTGCCTTCTCGCGCTCATCTTGCAGCTCACTTCCCATCAAGGGCGAGTCGAGTGCTGGTGGCCATTAAGAGAATGATTCTTGAGCTGGGAGTATCAGTATATGTTTTCTTAGATTGTATAGGTTCCCCCTCTCAGGCTGGCTCGTCTGATCTACTACCATAAAATAGAGTTATCTTCTCGGCGTTTCTACATGAACAGAAAACGCAAGCGGCATTGGTCCCACCTTTGATCCTGGACTCATCAACGTCAAAGACGGAAGGCCGAACGGACGGTATCTCAATGTGCCGGCCAAGCTTACCATTCCTCCAAACACTCCTGGACAACAGGCCACACACGCACAATTGTAGCCCGGGTGGACATATGTCTGCAAGTGCAAGACATGGGAGACTCATATCCACCTCGAGCTGAGAGGAGACATGGTGCCGCCATGTGCCTGTCAATTTCGACAATGGAACTCGACCGATCTGCTCTTCAACGCAATTTCAGGGGCTCCCTTGGTTCGTGTGAACTATGAAGCGCCCGCCATCGCGCTATTTAGTGCTACCTTTGTGGTAACCTAAACTTGCCCATAGCTGAGGCTTTCCCCGGTAAACCGCCCAGCTGGAGTGTGCCACTTTGATCAGAACTTCTGCCTACCTTAGTGTAAAACGTTTATCTCATTAAAGCGCGTGTGCTTGCTTGACTTTGCTTCAGCTCGCCCCCCCACGCTCCTTCCTCTGGCATCTCAAGCTACTTCATATTTCACAGGTGACACCGGTGCTCGAGCCTGTCCGAGCCTCCAAATACTCATACACTTTATATACCTACTGGTTTCTTCCCCTGGTATCCTGGGGTTTTCACACTTCCCCAGTTCTGAAAATATGCGACAAGGCTGTTCCCGCCATCAAACGATCCGTGGCCCGGATGCTCTCATCTGAGCAGCTCTGCAAAGCCTGTGTTCCTCACACTGCCTTCTGGCTAGGATTTCCTTTCACGCTTCTACCAGTAACACCGGCCTAGGGTGGAGGCTGCATTCGCCGTATCTCAAACCCGGTCACCAGACTTTGTTTTGAGAGGTGAAACGAAACGGCCTCGCCGCCACGATTCAAGACCAGAACATCTGCCCTTCCTACTCACGTCGCCATCTGTCAGTCAACACCTAACCCATCGACACCATGGTTCTTCAATGGCACATTGGCTTTCCTGTCATCCTGAAACTCTTGTTGGCGATAACGATCTGCCTCATTTTGTACTTTAGCCAACATCCTGCACTTGACAGATTCGACCATCGCATATCGAACCTCGACCTGTCCCTTAAGCTTCCCAAGGGCGGTCTCAATTTCGGTAACAAGAGCGACCATCATGGCTTCTACTCCTCCGATGCTGCTGCCAAGTTTTGCAAGCACCACGGTTACCCCGTCTTCACTCCCCAGTCAGAGACCGGCCAGCGAAAGGTATATGACCTGTTCATGGTCAACACAGAGCTCGACTGGATGGAAATACGCTTGAATTCTACCTACAACTACGTTGACTACTTTGTCATCGTTGAGTCTCCAAAGACTTTTACTGGCAGGCCCAAGCCGCTCACGATCAAGGAGAACTGGGACCGGTTCAAGCCTTACCACGACAAGCTCATCTACCACGAGCTCGAATTCCCGTCAGATTTCAATCCGAGAAGGTCATGGGACTACGAAGACTTACAGCGCAACGCCATGTACACCCAAGTGTTGCCTAGGCTCGTCGGAAAGCAGGCTCCGGTATACGGGGACGTTATCCTCGTCGCCGACGTTGACGAGATTGCTCGACCGGAGACACTATTGCTACTGCGAACGTGCCAATTCCCCCGTCGCCTCACCTTGCGTAGCCGGTTTTACTATTACAGTTTCCAGTTCCTCCACACGGGACCTGAGTGGGAACACCCGCAAGCCACTTACTACCAGGGCTCACGCACGCTCCTGCCGGCGAACCTCCGAATGGGAGATGGGGGCTTCAAGCCGCTTTACGACCTCGAGAAGGCGAATCTCGGGAACGCCTGCTGGCACTGCTCTAGCTGCTTCGCCACCGTCGATGAGTTCCTCACCAAGATGTCGTCCTTCTCCCACGAGTGGATGAATGGCGAGAGGTTTCGAAACAAGGACCGTATAGCGGACGCCATTAGGAACGGAAAAGACCTTTGGGGCCGAGACGTTGACCAATTTGTGCGCCTCGAAAATAATACAGATATGCCGAGTATTCTGCTGGATGAGCCGGAAAAGTTTGGTTATATGGTAAATAGGGATGGGCCTTCAGCTGGGTTTACCGACTACCCATGACCGTCCTGAACTCCCGTCTCTTGCTTCTTTGGTCAAGTTTGTCATTTTCCATTTTGTTTTAATTGGGCACATTAGCATGGAGTTACTGCTTACATGGAGGAATCGCATCGTCGTCTTTTCCTGGAGGGAGGGACGGCAGATCCAAAGGGGAGGGCACCTGGCAAGCCCTTTCGAGCACTAGAAGAATTTAACGCCCTGTACAATACATTCTCAACACTCATGCTCGTGCCGCATTGCCTTGTGGATGGTGTGAGAGGCATTCCAGCTCCTCGATAAAGATGTATTGCGGTGATCTGGATTACATCGAATGAGCGAGCGAGCAATGAGTATTTCAGCGGGTACATGAGTTCCACATTCCATATTCACCTTACGTGACAATAGCCATGGGCTCACCGAATGCCGAACACTAACTCACTCGCTCACTGTGAATTTAAGAAGATGAGTGAGGTGAAATGAGTCAAATCAAAAGGCAGGAGATTATTCTTGCCTTCCCAGATATCCAAAGCAAATAGCCAAGGTGACCAAGAGTGAGCGAGTGAACCGGTGTCCAGTCAGTGAGTGTGGGGTTGACGATGGCAAGCAAGCTGTCCTGTCCGCTTGGCACTTCTGCCACCTCTAGCGTCCCAAGCATCACCAGGCCATCCCTGGCTAACACATCGTGGCATCGCTCATTGAATGGGTCCTGCGGGAGGGGGATTTTCTTGCCCTCTCCCCCAAATACGTCGTTATTTCCAATAGAGGGCACATTTTAGTTTCAGCTCTCGTTTATTTTTCAACCCGTCTTCTCCTTTAATCAACTTGCCTAATCTACCTTACTCGGGTTTCCTTACGTCTTCAACTTCACATTCCTCACTCTCTCTCCCGAACCTCCGAGACATTGAAGACACAACGCAAGAGACAAGAGAGCACCTCAGCGTAACGGGCATCAAATCACACCTCCTCCTCTCCGTCCTTCACCCCATGGGCCCTGCAGCAAAGGGGTGCGGAAGCGTCGGTTGGCGGACCAATCACGTCGCGCCAGCAGCAGATGGAAACCGATGCATTGATGCGTGATGCGCTGGCAGTCTCTGGTCTGTGTGCTGCGCAAAAGGGAATGACAATAAGAGAGAGCAAGACTGCCACTGCTGAACGAGAAAGAGAGAGAAAATAGAGACTGACAAAAAAACTTGATATCTTTTTCCTTTCTCTTTTGACCCCTCTCTTTCCTCTCTTTACTTTTCTTCTCGAGACATCCCACCTTCTCTACTTTGGTTTCTCTCTCTTCTGTCGTCTACCCCTCTCCTAGCTCTCAATTCTTGTACTTCACTCCCTCTCAACACCACCACACACCGGTGCTGTGTGTCAGACCAGCTCATGTCGATTTTATGGTGAAGCGCCTCACCCTCTTCATATACGCAGAGCTTTGGTGTGGCAGCGAAAACCTCATACAAATCAAACATGGATAGGAGATTAAGCGATCGTACATCAGTCATGATATTCATTCGTCTACTTTCGTAGCATCGTCATGGCCACCCACTTATACCCCGCTCTGCTCCTTTCTACGTTGCTATTTCTCGCTTGAGCGGTGCCGCGTACCAGCATTTCTAGGTTGGATGACCTTTAAATGACTGGAAATTCCGGCGTGCTAACTTCAAAATCAAAGGCAAGCGCCCTGCTTCCAGACATGCCGTCCAAATTATCGCTTGAAAACAGTCCCCTTCCCTCCCGCTCCGATATATGGGACATGGTGAAAACGCCATGGGGGACTTGGCACGCTTACTGCTGCTAATGCTGTCGCAGACCAACTAACAACGTCAGAAGATCCGTGATTTGGCGGACAATTTCGACACAACGACGTCTCGACAACGAACACCATGCCGCATAAAACCCCCTCGTCTTCAGTAATAGTATTGCCCTTTCGAATCCACTAGCCCGCAAGCCCAGAGGGAATACGATCGAGAAGGAACGGCAGGGCGGGACAACTGGGAACGCGGCGGATCGAGGCATCCAACGCGCGTCAGTATTACGCATCACCTGTTCGCCCACTTCATCAGCCACTGTAGCACAGCGTCCAAGTTGGTCTCCTCCTTGGCACTGATGCCGTAGCAGCAAACCTCGCGGTGGCCTATGGACTTGAGGTCAAGCGCATCGATCAGCTCGTCCACCGATAACTTCTGCGGGAGGTCCGATTTGTTTCCCAAAACAAGGAGTGGGATTTCTCTCAGAGAAGCTTGGTCCATGAGAGCATGAAGCTCCTCCCGAGCTTGCTGTAGCAAGTCCATATCAGCGATATCGACGATGAAGACGATAGCGTTGACGCCACGGCAGTATCTTTCCCACATCGTTCGAAATCGGGGCTGGCCACCAATATCCCAACATTTCAGTGTAACGTGTCCTCGTTGCACCCGCTTCATGTTGAATCCGACCGTCGGGATCGAGCTACACAAGATATCAGTTAGCCGAAAATGCCGCTAGCCGAGACCGATTACACCAGAGATGGTACAGTAGGCAGTTCTGAGGGGTGAAGAAGAAACGGAGGTCGCTTACTCGATGGTGAACTCGCCGCCCTACAAGTGTAAATGTCAGCGTGCGAACGGCTTTGGTGCGAGGGAAAACTTGACAATGTAGGAAAAGATTCACTTACTGCGAGGACGCGGAGCAGAGACGTCTTACCCGCATTTTGGAGACCGATCATCGTCACATCCATCTCTGTCGCCCTGTCGTCGCAAGTCAGCTCAAGTTCAAGATACCATCCCCGAGGATCGAGGGTAAGGGCAAAGTGGGCGCGGCGGGGTAAGGTCAGAGCGCGCGGGCCGTCCATCGCTGAAAATCACCCCCGCTGTTCATCGCGGGAAGCAAAGTGCACTCACCAGAACGTCCTCAACAGCCAGTCGTACACTTTCCGGAAAAGCCCCGCCATGGTGGTGGTGTATAATGAGCGCGATGCGCTGGTGTGGAGGAGGTAGTATAGGATGCGTAGGTGGCCAAAAGAGGTGTCGCCAACGTGTGTTGATCTTGGATCCGGATACAGCGCAACGGCAATAGATGTTGCGCAACGGAGAAAGGTCGGTGGCGCGGCGATTACTATTTCGTTCGGAAGAGACGTCGATACGGTGAGAGACGGAGAGGGATGAAGGACGGGTGCGGAGTTGTGATTTGGATGCTTAAGTATTCGATGCGCTCAGACGCCTTTAAAAATTGGAAATAAAAATGTCTCGTATGACCAGTGGTAACCGACCAAATGTCGCAAGTCAAATGTCGCTGGCATCGACGTGGGAGATGGCGGCACAGGTTGCTGCTCTGCTCTGTGCGATGATGGGGGCGGGAGAGACAGAGAGAGAGAGGCTCGATGGGCGTCGCTGGTTTCTCGTTGGCGGGCGACGACACTGGAACTGGGAGCAAGTTGCGGCGCAGATGCAGGTGCAGACAGTGCAGGCGGCGGGCGGGAACCAGAAAAGAAGAGCGCAGGTGACGCTTGGCCTGGCCTGGTCTGTCCCTTTGGGGCCGGAAGAGGTACCTCGAGCAGCCTGTGAGGTAAGGTAAGGTATAGTAGGTCCCCACCAGAGAAAGACGGGATGGCGAGGGTTGATGGGTCGTGGAAGTGACTGAGTACCCTGGATCCGGCTCAAGCTTGGGGTCGGGGGACCGGGGTCGGGAGGGGAGGGGCACAAGCTGTAGGATGAACAGTGCCGAATTTGGAGTCGCAAGAATTGGCGGTTGGGGATGAAAAGACGACTGGGAATAACCGCGTTGACAGGGTCTGCAGCGGTTACAAGATCAACGACTAGGGTTTCATTCGTTTGCTTCTACCGGATCATGTGGATCTCTCCACGATAGGCGCGAGAAAGGGCTGCGATCAGGGACGAAATTGTAGGTCAACCGGGTGCCGGTGCACCTGATTTCGGGTGTGAGTGCCTTTGCAGTACGTTATGTGCGGCAGCGGCATGGAAGTCAATCCACTGACGACAGCAACGGCAGCGGTAGCAGGGATGAGATGCGAACGTGGCGGCGGCGGCGAAGGGTGATTTTCGACAAGGACCAGCCTACGAGGCGGTTGTTCAATACCACGGCGCTCGATCCGACTATGATGAATCTCTTTCGCAGAAGTGGATGACTTGACTAAAGTACGCTTCCGTGACCTGGTGTGAAAGCTCGTGGATCTGCTCCCGGATGCCAATGTCAAATGAAGGGGATGTGACGTATGGTTGAAATTAATGGTGCTTGTAATCCGGTGGGCGAACGGCTAAGGTAGGCAGAGGTAGACGGCGACGAGGCGCGATAGCCTAGACGTCCTGGAAGTCACCAGAACCCGATATGGGTGGGCCAAGTCGGTCTTAGCCGGCTTAGGTTGACGGGTTGCAGCGATTCGAACCGTGGTGTCCAAAGTAAGGCCAAGACATGCAGACTTCCAAGGCTAATAAAGGAGGCCCCGAATTGATGCGGTGGGCGCGAAGGCTGGCTTTCCACCTCGGATGTTGTTTAGTCGGCCTCAGGGTAAGGTAAGGTGTGCAAGGTAAGATTGCTCAGGTGGTCGCGTTTGCGGGTGGATGGGTTGCGGGTAGATGAGTAGATGGTAGATAGATTCCCCAATGAAGAAAGATATGTCGACAAGGGGAAGGTGAGAGGAAGGATGAAGGGCGCGTGAGAACCCAGATTGTTGCAGGCGGCACAACTCCAGATCTGTCTGGCAATCCCCGTCAAGCAACCTGCGAGGGCTGACTGCGTGCGGGCCGAGGCAGGACGGTGCAAGGAGAGGGGAGAATGGTCGTCGATGTTGGGCGTCTAGTGACGTTGTGACTGTGATGAGAGGCGAGGCGAGAAACGGGCGGCTCGCCGACAAAGGCGTTTGTTGGTGGCTACCTTTTTTTATTTTCTTTTGGAAGGATCACCAGCAACGGAGGTTGGGTAGGGTTCTGCAAGCGGGACGAAGAATTTATGCAGGCTCGACCTTGAGAGGTAGCCAAATGGGTATTTCGATGGCGCGAGCTGAGTGAAAGGCGGACCGGGCTGGATGAACAGAAAGCAATGAGATGGAAGCCTCGAGTTTGCTAGGAAAGCAGGATGCAGATCGGGAGTATTTAGCAACAACGGCGCATGGTCAGGGAATGGCCGTAAACTAGGTGAAGTAAGGTAAGGTAATGAAAGGGATGGACCGTAAGGCAGGCTGGGCTCTTTCTCCAGGCAGGCAAGCACGCGGGCGACAAAAGCCGCAGACAACCCAATTATATTCATGGAAGGCAGGAGCCTTTTCCGTAAGATGTACCTTCCACGGCTGGGGGTTAGTATGCCCGGTACGGGAGGGAAGGTTGAGGCAAGGAAGGCAGTAAGTCGCTTCAGTCTTACGCCCAATGGAAGGTGCGGCACTTATTAAGCTAAGGAATGGTACTTACCTACCTTACCTACCTTACCTTAGGTAAGGTGAAATAATCTCCGTTTTCTCTACCTTGCCTTACTTTCTACGCTTCTCTAGATCCCGTTGTCAGTGGGCGTGGAAGGGACTATGAGAATAGAGGATGTAGGCGGGGGAGAAGAAGGGAACTTGCCCATTCGTTTGTGAATAGTCTGGCAGAACAAATGCGCTGAGCTGGCTGGGTGATCTGACGACCAAGGCTCGAGAGAACTCCCTACTACAGGGCAGAAGAAAATCGTAATTGATGTCTGCGATATTCTCTTCCGAGCTAAGGTGGTGTCATTACACAAGCAGTAGGTGTTGGTACTGTTCATTGCCCTCAGTTACCTTGGTGTGCTTAGTGAGGTGTGAGGTAGATGGAGAGATATTACTGCGTAAGTACGGAACCTTGACCAAAAGCTGGAGAGGACAGGGGCTTGGCAGGTGAGACAGGCAGAGGCCAAGAGGCAAGGGCGGCAGCATATGTTATGCATCCTCCGGGCATCACCCTGTCATCATCTCATGACGGATGCGGAGTCGCGGAGACCGTGGACTCTCTTACACAGAGTGAGAGCGAGAAGTATGTATCGCGAGGACCCTCGGTGGGGGTTATCTCACGTAGAATGTCCATGGAGATGCCTTAGCTCCTAGCCTCGGTGAATCGGGCCCCAGTTAGTGTAGATTGGGCTGCAAGTCGCCAGCTGCTCGCTGTAATTCCTACTAATTAGGAGTCTTTCTTTGCTAGTTGCATTCTTAGGAGACTCCCGAAATCTAGATTCGGCGGGGAGGGTACCCATCCACCGCGAGTATTGGTGAGAACCAACGATTTCGGTGGTGCGGCATGACCACTTTACGCCTAAAGGCCTGGCCTGACTTGACCTTACCTCACCTCACCTACCTCACTTCACCCTCTCTGCTACCCTACCTTCCAATTAGTGCGGAGAACTGTTACACCTTAGGCTGCCCAGTGAAGGTTGCTTACCTTGCCTGACGGATCCCACTTCGGGCTGGAAATTTCCGTCTTGCTGAAAGGTTTCCCTGGATGGATGGGTTCTACAATCCTATGTCAGAATTTGCTGTGCTGATTCGACTTAGTATGACCACTCAAGTTCATTGCGGCATGGCGCTGCCGCCAACCCAATGTACCATCTCGATCATCAGACGAATAGAGCAGAGTTCCGTCAGCGAACCCGGGCGATGACAGCCACCAACCATTGACGCGTCCACTTCCGCCTGCCATTCCCAGCTGTCGGGTTCACATCACGTTGAGTGACCAACCGGGTCCAGTCAAATGTGACTGAAATTTCGTGACAGATTAGAGGTTACGAACCATTGGTGTCACAGTCAAGAAAGCTGCAGGACACGCAATATCCCTTCTCTACGACTAATCAACTTCGGCATCCACAAGATAAGAAAGTAGAGCAAGGCCGTGTCTGAGATGGAGGCTGGCTTACGGACAAGAGTGGGTCGGTCTCCGTGGATATCGGGCGCCTTTCATAATCGGAACGCCGAGAGCATCTCAGTCCCGGGTGCACAATCCCGCGACAGTGGGGTTCCGTCTACCTACGCGGGCCCTCCATTCCGGACGAGCATTTCAAGATCAGGGCCCCGCACCTCAGATAAAGCGACGTCCTCGCACTGTCTTGGATAACGGCCTGCACTTTCGACGATGCCGCGCCATGATTGGACGATGCAATTTTTTCCGCTCCAATCTCCATAATTATTTTTTTGTTTTCACCGAAGACCCGACTGTCGCATCCCAACCCTCTGCGATCCAGAAACCCGGTGCAGTAGGAAGAAGTTTACATTTTCGCCCTCCTTGTCTCTGTCGCGTTTGTCTTGCCCAGGGAGACCAGTCCTTGATATTGCCAATCCACATGACATAGTCCCCCGTGAGCCAGCCATTATTCACTAAGGAAGAAGTCAAGACTTAAGCTAACAATCGCAGTCGCAGGCAAGCGAACGAGAGAGCGAACATGGCGCCATCAGCGACAAGCACCGAGTGGGATCACCAATACAATACCGTTCGTCGCGAGAACCTTTTTCGCAACCCCCCGAAGGATCACACGGCCTATCCTGCCCTGCAAGAGGCTGTGAGCCCTCACATCGACTCCTTCAATGCCTTGTTCACAAGTGACGACAAGAGCCTCCTCGCTCGAGGCATAGAGGATATTGGCACAAAGACGTATCTTGATGGCGACGACAGGGCGGGCCTCGAAGGCAAGAACCGCCTGTCAGTACGGATCAAGAGTGTAGCGCTGCAAAAGTCCCAGCTACCCCCCTCCAACAAGTTCGCCAGGAATCGTGAAATCCTGCCCTCCGAATGCAGAGAGCGTCATTCGACGTACCGAGGCAGGCTATCCGCCACCTTCGAGTACAGAGTCAATGGTGGTGATCCGAAAGAATTTGTGCGCGAGCTTGGACAGGTGCCAATTATGGTCAAGGTAAGTGCTTTTGTACACCAATTGCAAACCTGACGGCGGGGTGCTAATGGGGGATTGGCAGTCCAACAGATGTCACTTGGAGGGCAA